AATATTGCCATTTGAAGCTTGCGTTATAGTTAACATTTTATTTGTGAGAACATGTTCTCAGTAGAGCTCTGTACAGCAGCTATGGACACATGTGGACATATGAAAATGAGTCAGGAGGATAGGCTGATATGATTTAACTCTATATTAGGGAGTACGATCTGAAATATTCCCTGAGTTATGTCTGACAGACTCTTTTATAAAATGGTATAAAAATACTATGGTAAAAATACAAGATTATTTTTGAGTTTTTTGGATAGTGAACAAACCAAAAGTCTTCAACTTTGAGAAAAGAGGGAACTCAGTGAGATGGTACTTACCTGAGAAATCTCACCTTCCAAAATTTGGTAAAGTGGACTAGTCATAATACCGATCATACATGGTGGCTAAGACGCTAGTACATTCCACCCTTCAGCAGCTTCAGACGGAATTTCTTATCCGACCCTTAATGTTTCAATAAAAAAGAAATTGGGTAGCTAGTAATGAAAAAACATAAAAATATCATAGAATTCAACGAGCAGTTAAATGGTGCTTCGTTGGCTATTCAAGTAATAGCTGGTACCACGTGCCTAGTGTAAGCTTCAATGTTGCATCTTGTGGTCAGTCGTCCTCCCTTTTTAACCAACCAACTCTATAGCTGTCATTGTACCAAGTTCTTATATAACTTCACACATTTTTATTTTTATATATAACAAATTTTATGAATAGTTTCTTTTCTCTCGGGACAAGTAATACGGCAAATTTTGACAAAATCAAGTTATAGTTATTGTAACAATTATTACGAAATAAGGAAGTTGCTTTGAAAAATAGATGCTCCAAGTTATTTTTTTTTTCATCGCTGTTCGAACTGAAAGCCAAACCACAATTGAGTTCATAGATTTGAATATATACATATGAATGTATATATGTTAGAGCGGGTTGATTCACAGAGAGCCAAAAATATGGAAAAATCGCGTGTGCGGGAAATGTTCTACGGATCATTCTCAACAACTCTGCCTAAGAGAATATGGGTCTAAAACCGTTTTCGAGCCAGTGATTCTTTAAGTAAAGTTTTTTTTCGGGATTATAAAAATTTCTTCGTCAGGTTTTGAGATATTCGAATGAAATTTAATACATACATAGGTCCATTTTGTGAATTTATTAATCATTTGTCGGAATCGGCCAGATCGTTTGTCCAATTTTCTTTATTTCCACTGTCATATACTTGTACATATGTAATAGTAGTCCGTATATCTCCATTTGCACTGTCATTGTTAATTATTTGTTAGAGAACAGTTCTGCAAAAGTAGGAGCTCTTAGCTTTTTTAATTAAAAGTAGGCAGTCCGAAAGTAAAATAACTAAATAATCGGTTATAGTGTGGGAGATATGTGATATAGTTGTCCGATACAGTTGTTCAGAATTAACCGTGAAACATTTCTCGCATACGCCATTTCTTAGACAAAATCGACCCGCTCTAATATATGTATGTATATGTATTTATGTACATATGTATATTGAAATGTGTGTGGAAATCTAGGCACTCTCGTAACCGCTAAGTCATAGAGCAACCACAACGAGTGCGCCGCATGGCGCTGTGTTGCGGTGCAGCCAAAGAACTGGTTGCGCCATATAAACTGCAACTCCTAGTGGCGGCAATTCGCCAAAGATGCGGTGCCGTCAACTGAGGTTGCCACTGCCGTTGCAATTCACCAGATAATCTGTGCAAACTGCATTCACTTACACACATATATACAAGCGCATAGTAAGCCTACATAGAGTGGCACAACAAACGCTTGTGGCAAACATATTAATAGGTAGGTATGTTGGTAAATATATAGTATGTACATATGTATATAAATCATATAAAGTCAGCTAGTCTATGGTCACTGGCATTACAGCAAACCTGTTAGCAATAGTGCTTCTGATGCTCGAACATACAGACAACAGACACACGGTATACGCCAAGAAGCGATAAAATAATGTATAGCTTGGAAAAGCGGTAGTGTCCGTGTTTGAAAACACAGTATCCACACATACCCACAGGCAAACACTAGTCATTGTACAACTGCAACTCGGTTTATTCGCTGCTACTGTTCGAACAGGATTCAAACCTACTTCAAACACAAATGTACATTCATATACTTGTACATATGTATTTACTAACATAAATGCATAGTCACATATTTACACAGAAACGTATTGCATTTGAAAGTCTCTTTTTGGCAAAGTTTGCGCAAAAACTTCGATAAAGTCTATGGAAAACCTCAGTTGAAGCGGTTTCCAACACACATACAGACACACTCGAACTGGCGAACACAATTGTCAAAGAAAGTTGTATGAACAAGTTTTCCACGAGACGTTGCTTCGCTTAATAGCCTCACACTTCCTGGTTTTAAATGCATACTATTCTTTGTTCTAAGCGATTTTTTTAACGATTTAAAACCAGTAATATCTCTGTGAAACTTGTACTGGTGAAAGCCGCAGCTTGATGGCCTGAAAAATAAACTCTACCATTGTAGGCATTAGATTTGTGGCATGTATGAATGTGCATATTCCTATACACTACAATAGCACTAAACATTTTTGGATACAAACAAACATTATATGCATATGCAAATATGTTGTTCTTGGTATTTTATTCAGGTTAACTACTTATGTAATAGACCTCTATAGACCGTTATTTTCAATGGCTGACGCTGCAGAAAACAAGTTACCAATTTTAGAAGTATAATAGAATCCAGACTCCAAACTTAGGAGCCAATTATCGTAGGAATTCCTAACATGTGAACATCGTATCTGATCAAAAATAAAATATCGAAGCTAATAGAAATAGTTTTTTAATGAGCAACAACACCAATCTAAAAGCGAGTTGGGCAGGCATTTGAACCGCCCATAACCCGACTATCATTATAAATTCTAATAAACCCACTTTTTCGAGAACGTCCAAGAATATAGTTGTGCAGATTATTCATAAGTTTTTGACAAAGTTCTTTTTGGTATTTGGTTCGACAATTGAAGGATCTTACAAGTTAAACTGCATCTGAATGTTTGTTTAATTTTACATATATACATATCTGATCAAACTTGAGCCGAGTTGGTCCATTTAAACTGCACGCGCAAATCAAATCCATAAAAAACTTTTCCAAGATTAGTACAACCCGTTTTTTATGTTCGTGTGAAGTACAATATGATCTCGATATGTCAATTCGTGTGTGGAGTAGAGGTCAAAAGAGCTGCTTGACAAGAACGCTTGACCCTACGCATCATATGTATCATTACTGGTACCGAGACGTCGGTTTATGAATATGACTACCCAATTTAGCAAATTACGCTTCAAATATTTAGTTAATTGTTTGTCTATTATTGCGTGTGGTATTAATCAGATGATAGGTAAAGTTTTAAAGCTCTAAACTTAGATAATGGTTGCCCATATGCCCATGGTTGAAATAAAAATTTGGATATTAAACCTTTACCAAAAGTACCTCCATTTTCATTATACCCTGAACAGGGTATATTAAGTTTGTTACGATGTTTGTAACACCCTGAAAGAAACGTCAGAAACTCTTTAAAATATATACATAAATGATCAGCACGATGAGCTGAGTTGATTTAACCATGTCCGTCTGTCTGTTCGTCTGTCCGTCCGCCTGTCCGTATATATACAAACTAGTCTCTAGTTTTTAAGTTATCGATCTGAAATTTTGCACCTGTCCTTTCCTCACCAAGAAGCTGCTCATTTGTCGGAATGGCCGATATCGGACCACTATAGCATATAGCTGGCATACAAACTGAACAATCGGAATCGAGTACTTGTATGGGAAACTTTTTTATTTGACGGCATGAATCGGCATGGATTATTATTTAATGCAATAATCAAATTTCCGAAGAAAGATCGAATGACTATAGCATATAGCTGCTATATTAACTGAACGTTCGGAGTATAGTGCTTGCAGTAAAAATTTTTATTTGACGAAGTCTCTTCACGAAATTAGGCATATTATTTACATGGTCATTTCTTACGAAATGTCAACTGGGAAATTCGTTCAGAAATACTAGATCAATATATACAAAAATGGCTGGCACAGTTATAGAAAGAAACCATTAGTTTGTATTTCAAAAAGGAGCAAATAAAATACATAAATCATAAATGCCCATTAATATAATCGAAGATATTGGAATATCAGATTTTTCAGTGGACTGTCTAATTTAACAATATATACACAAAATATTAAATTCGGATTAGAATTGACAAAAATAGGTCTCTCTCGGATTAGTTCACTTTCAGCGTAGAACTTCTAGTTGTAAACTAGTCTTTTGCCAGGCTAGTTTGATGTTGTACTGCATGTTATATAATAGATACAAGTTCATGTGCAAAGAAATTAATTGTTTCTCATTTATAAGCTGATGCATTAACGAGGATAACCAAAATCGGCAATCTATCGCTCGAATAAGAGTAAATGTACTTATGGGGATATTTGTATATTAATTTTCCCTGAGCAGCAAATATTGACTGTCTAACTAAATACGGCCATTGCTATGGTCATCAGTTCATATCGCAGGCATCCCATATTTATATTTAATTGGTAAAATAATGTTTAGAGCGTTGACTACTGAAATTGGCCGATCAATCGCCTTGGACCATTAACATTTTTACTTTTACTTAAAATTCAACACGCTGACCCATCGAACTGCTCAGTTTGTGTTTAACTATGTCGAAGTACAATCGCACAGAACTTTTCGCTTACCGCATGCTTAGAGTGCTCTACAAGTATGGACACCTCTTGAGTGTGATCGATTGGAAACTGCAGAAACAGAAGATGCAGTTACGGCAAGCAAAGCGGTGGTTTCGCATTATAAGAATTCTATGGCGCATTTCGCTTTCACTAATTTTTACGTCGTTAATACCAAATATGATGGCACCACTTCTGCGATTATCAGACAACTCTTTCTTACTGTTTTTTGCAAATGTACAGGTGACAACTGTAACACTCTTCTCAATAATTTCATTCGTTATACATGAGTGTTCGGAACGAAAAATATTTCAAATAATTAATAAACTTGTAAATATGTACGAAAGAATTTCAACAAAGTCGGGCATTCAACAAATCCTGGGACGAACATTTGTAATATCTGTCATATTGAAATTTTTTCTCAGCACTTTGGGACTGATCTATGAAATTCCATTACTTGTAGAAGATACAGGACTGCTGATTTGTTTATCAGGCATTTACCTTTGGTTAAGCACAATATATATATTGGATTGTTGCTTCATTGGCTTTCTGGTCATCAGACAAATGTACATTGGAATGGCTATACATTTAGAGCGGATGATTGAAAGGATGAGCAGAATTGAATCGGAAGAGCTACATAACCGTCTAAGTAAACATCAACGTATGAAAGAATTGTGTATGTATTCGGAAAGCATCGACGACAGCAACAATATTTATACGAGTTTATATGAATTGACCAAACAGTTTGAACACATTTTCCGCTGGCAAGTGCTTTACTACATTTACTACAACTTTGTGATCATACTGATGCTTATGCATCGCTTTATATGGCGATATTTCGATTGGGGTTTGGTGGATATTATGGCGTTTTTCTCATCGGTTTTTAAGATTTGCAACTTGGCTTTCTTAATATTTAGTACTGACGGTGTAGTGCAGAAATCCCAGCTGCCCGATTTGCTCAATTTAGATCTGGTCTGTTCAGATATCGATGCGCGTTGGGATGAAAGCGTAAGTTTAGGTGTATATAATATAAACAAGAAAAAACGTTAACTTCGGTTGCGCCGAAGCTATAATATCCTTTACAAATACAAAGGCCCCTTACAAGAACTTGATTCCGAACGTTCACTTTGTATGGCAGCTACATGCTATAGTGGTCCGATATCGGCCGTTCCGACAAATGAGCAGCTTCTTGGTAAGAAAAAGACTTGTTCAAAATTTCAGATCGATATCTCAAAAACTGAGGGACTAGTTCGCGTATATACAGACAGACGGACGGACGGACATACGGACATGGCTAATTCAACTCAGCTCGTCACGGTGATCATTTATATACATACTTTATATGGTCTCCGCCGTTTCCTTCTGGGTGTTACAAACTTCGTGGCAAACTTAATATACCCTGTTCAGGGTATACAAATTTGAAAATCATTCGCCAATGGTCGGCAAAGTGTGGCATGGTAACAATATGGGAGTGATTGAAGCTGATAATCAGTGTTTATAATATATACTGGGATATCCAAAGCGTTTGAGACACATAGTGAATGTACTATTTAAAAAAAAACACATATTTTCTATTCGTGTGCTCAAAAAAGGTTAGGTTCTAGGTATAATATATTCCTTTTTAAAGCAGCTAATCCTAATATCCAACCTCCAGGTTGATTTTTGCAATGAAAAAAGTTTGTTATAAGGGGTACAACAGAAGTTCAAGATAGATTTACCGATCCGTGCCATCCAAGTAACATAACGATATGTTGTAATAAGTGTAAACAGTAAGAACAACGGCATTTGATTAATACACCGTTCAAAGTAGCGAGGACCCAAATTGAACACCCTGTTTCTTCTACCTTGCTTAGCCAATTTACTATTCTAGTATTTCCGATATTTCCTATAGCTGGAATTTATAGTACCGATCTATACTTATGAAATGTGGCTAAATTGTGCGAGTAGTCTTTAAAAGGAAATACACCCGGATTACTCACTATAGGGTACAATTGGAAATGAATTTGTAGCCAACACATATATTTAGGATTCAATTAGATATTAATTAGTCTCTAGCAAATACCTTCGGAGTAAAAAAAGGAGAAATTAGTCTCTTTATAGAAAGAAAAACAATTGTTCCACATAAAAAGACCAAAAATACAGTCATTTGCGAATAATTGCTGACTCATCCCGGATTTGTCGCACTTTTTTAGGGATACCAAATATAAGTATATAATGTGTATGTATGTAGGTATGTATATTATTTTTCCTAAATTATTCTAAATTTCCATTTTTTTTTTGCCGTAACATTGTAGGTTGAGACGTTCATATGCCAACGCAAGGTGGAAAATCTCGAAATTAAGGTGTTGGGATTCTTTCACCTCAACAATGAGTTCATCTTAGTCATATTATCGGCCATTATGTCTTACCTCTTTATACTAATTCAGTTTGGTTTGACAAGTAAGTACAAATAATTATTGTAATTTACATATATACATATGTATCTACATACTCACAGTGGTGAGCAGTATATTTGCACTTATGCATTTATTTTTATACCAGATTTAGGTAATTAAATGAAAATGTTATATTTATTTCAGAATCGTATAGTTACCTCGCTGCATAACGGTAAAACTAAACAAATTGTAATTGAATTGTAATTGAAGTACTGAAAGTTGGGAAGCATATGTACACACTTACATTCGAACGTACTTCCGACTTAGAAACCAGTTCTTACTGGCTATTTGTAATTTCGATGTAAATATTATGCACCCATGTTCGGTCTCTTTACTTTCGAAATATGTGCAATAAATAAATTTTCTTTGCCAACCCTTGATATTTATAAATATTAAGATTTTTATAGATTATTATTTTGTATATATTATATTTAATCAAAAAATTTTTTTCAAATCTTTGAAGCCCTTATTGAGCACACCTAATGTGACAACCTAATAAAAAGATAATTTTTGGGATTAAAAAAATTCAAGGTTAGATTTATGTATGTATATTTTAAAAGTACACAGTATAATTTTGAAAAAAAAATTTCAAACTTTTTCGAGTTACACGCGATCTCCGACGGCGCTAAAGAAAATAGGATGAAACCTAAAAAAAGGCCGTGTATTGGCCGTAGTTACTATGAGCTGCGATCGAAAAAATCCAAAATTGACAAAATGACTGCGTTTTTTCTTTTTAAAAGGGAAATTTTACCCAAAATTTTATTTATTTGGTCTGTTGAAATGGCGAACGATATGTGAATGCACATTATATGTAGAAAACTTTGATAGTGGTAGTATAATTTGTCTCCGAGCAATTTTGAACATTTTTGTTTTGAGAAAACCGCGATAAAAAAAATTATTAAGCTAATTAATTTTAGAAGGCTGTAATTCAAAAACTATCTTGGATATCGATTAAAAATGTTAGTATGTTTTTTAAAGATATAACCCATTGAAATACGAAAACGAATAGATTTTTTTTCTATTTCACACTAGGGGTGGCCTTAAAAATTGCAACAGATTTTAGGCTATAATTTGTTGTAGATCATAGATTAAATGTAGGGATTAACATCAGGAGTTTCCAGAATAAAAGATAATGACAATTTCAGTATTAATTTAATTTATTAAAAAACTGTTACTTCTTATTTGCTAATATTTTCGCTTTTAGTTGCATATTTTATCGACACTATTGTAGAAATGTAGCTACATATGTATGTATGTAAGAACTTAAATAATCACTTATAAAACCATAAATAAATGTACATATGTATATCCTAATATAAGTATATTTATGAGTACTCATGTACAAATACAATTTTTCTTTGCCAGAGCAATAATGAAAGACTGCGCATGCGTGTCCGCAACACATTGAAAGACCGTCAAAATTATAAAAGTAATTGGTACGCTGCGAAGAGCGAGGAATTTCGACGTTGTCACTAAATTTTAGTTCGAAATTTTTGTTGCAAATACAATTCATAGAAGAAAAACAACAACAACAAAAATTCCCAAAATCTTGTAATTATCTTTTGTGCCAAACTGAATAATTTGTGTGACTATAATGCTGGAATTTAAGCACAATAGGTATTAAATGCCACGAAAGTTGGAGCACAAATTGAAGCTGTGACCGACGCTGACGCTGATGCTGATTACGACACGCACCAGAGCGTAACGCACTTGTCACGCCTATTATTTGAAAATGAACTCAACGTACTGTGACCTTTGCGTTGATCCGCGCCGGCGATAAACGCGCAAAAATTGTCCCTTACACACGACTATATACCTACATCTATGTACGTAAGTGCATACGCATTTGATTGTACGAGTGTGTGTGTATGTGTATCAAGTTTGTATATTTACATGTGAATTTTCGTATAGACTACAAAGAAGTAATGAATGTACATACATACATATGTGTGTGTGCATTGTAGCCAATGTTATTGCTTTTACGAAGACTCATTGTTTGTTGTTGTTGCGCATCTTATTAATGTTGGCAGTCACAGCGCCTCTGGCGCATGCCTGTAATGATAATAAAAACGTTAGGAGGGGAGGTCAACGTAGGACGGGCACATCCGCAAAACTCCGTCGTAAACAGTAAAAAAACAACAACAATAACGAAAAGCACTAAAATGAAACAATGCACCGAATTAATTTCTATATCGCTGCGCTCGGCTGATTTAACTTTAACCGTAGAAACAGATTCAATATTCTTCGCGAAAGAAAACAATAACAAACCGTAAATTACAGAGGAGTCCGCTAGCTACGCTGATTACTGGAAAAAAGCACAAACCAAAAAAAAATAAATAAAAACACAGAAACAGGAAAGGAATTTACATATGAGTAGAGACACATCTACATACGTTTATGACCTGAACCTAAAACAAATATACCTTGATTCAAACGTACAACATCCGGCTGCGCGCCGGAGCGAAGCAGTGCAAATCACAACGTTAATTGTCTGTCAGGAGCGCCTCAGCGAGTGCGTGGGTCGTACTTAATCAGACATTGCCAAAAAAAAAAGATCCATATCCATCCAACAACTTGGACAAGCATGGCGGTCACTGCTACAAGGCATCAGTCATCGGCAGTCAACGGTGAGCAGCCACCAACCATCAGCCATTGACCCATCGCTCCGGGTGTGTGGAAGTGCTGAAGGCTCCAATTAATTATCGCATTTATAAAAAGGAAAATAATCAAAATTTGAGGAATTTGTTTTCCACAAAGCGTCGTCTGCACTCAATATACATTACGTTGTAAATACACACAAACACACTTAGTAAATAAATTACTCACCCAAACATACATACATATGTAAGTGGTCATGCGCTTGCACTCATAGATATTGCACTCGGAGCGGAGGCTTGTGTGCCGCTGCAGTCATAGCTTTTAAGATGCTTAACAAATATTTAGAGATCTAAACATTAAAGACACCGCGCTTCTTGCTGCGTAGCTAAAGTCGCTAGCATTCTCGTTCACAATCAAGCAAAGCTGATAGTTTCACAGATTATTTGAGTTAAGTGGGAAGTAAGGCGCGGGGATGAAGGTGTTCACTTTATAATTCAACTCATTGTCATTTGTATTAAGTCAACAATGCAGGCATACTTATCATATACAGTCAAACCTGAGTAAGAGAGAAGTGGGTAAGCGAGAAAACTCTAAAAATAATTCTCAGGTCCCGGATTTTGACTTCCCAAAAACCTCTATGAGTGGGAAACAAAAACCTACATAAGTGACACTAATTTTTACTACTCTGACCTCTATGACTTAGAGCCTCTTTTGTATTTACCTCTATAAGCGACAATTTTCCTGTGGATGACTCATTCTTTTTTTTTCAGGAATCAGCAACTATGTTGTAATATCTAATATTATATAAGTATATATAATTTTGTAATTCAAAGGAATAATATTTAACTGTATTAACTTATTTGTCATGCTCACTGCAGTTCATAAATATCATGTGCAACGAATAGTACACTATACTCTTACAACAACAATGTCTAAACAAAAAATCAGCCTGAGTCGGAAAAATCAAGGTGTGAAATACGAAGTGAATTTGGATAACCAGATTCTACTTATTACGATTATTATAATTGACAAACCTCTTCTGTACCCCTATAAGCTAGAAACTCGCATTAGATAGTTTAAGTGAGAGCATTAGTGAGAAACCTCTATAAGCGAGACAAAAATCATGGTCCCTTATTCTCTTTATTAACCAGGTTTGACTGTATGTATATTTAAGTTCTCACATGTACATATGTATAAACTCGTACATATAATATTTACATACATATACAAATTTCTTATGTGCTTAGCAGCGCCTGCTCACATGAGACATTGATAATTATATCCTTTTTTAAACTTTTTGTCATGGCTGAGATGGCTTTAGGTGATGTTGATAAAATTGTGTGAGAAAATATACCGAATGGGAAACTAAATGGAAATATCTACGGTATAATTGCTACTGTGTAATTAAATCAAAAATATGTTAATTACAATGTACTTAACTAGAATGTGTGACAAAACGTTTTAATGAGCTCAATTTTTGCCAGAAATTTGAACTGAACTGACAAAAAAACATGTTGACATATTTTAATACGCCTTCAATATAGGATCCTATTGAGCCAATTCAAGCATGTCAACGCTTATGTCAACATTTTGACTACACTATAACAAGCCACGGCTGGGTTTCACTCAGCGCCTTCAGCAAACCTTCAGGTTTTTTCGGTTTCGGCTCATTTTTGGAACCCCATTCGCTAGGTTGTTAGACAGTATCGCCGTTATATTCATAAACCCACGCCTGGTCAACAGTAATGAAGCGTTTGATGAATGAAAGATCTTTAGCTACGTTGTCAAAACAACTCTTTTTGGAACCTCTACTCACCGTAAGAAACGAGTCTAACATTGGCACGCTTCATACCCAAAACATGTTGAGTCGAGCCATAAGAGATGTTGAGATACTCTGCTATCTCTATGATGCTAACACGATGTTTTTCAAACAGTGCTTCTTTAACTGTTTCGATATTATCCTCATTAAGAGGGCTGGCTGGACGTCTGGCATGAGACAAGTTTCCATCACAAGTTGACTTCAAGATATTCACTGAATGCTTTATGCTACTCAAACACTTGTGTTCGTGATAAAGCAACTTCCAAATACACTTCTGCAACGATTCCGTAGCCGTTGGAGACACAAAATATCAGGCAAACTCTTTGTTAAATTTTAAACACTATTAAAAAAACACACACCACATAATAAACAAACAGCTTCCAAACACACGATAATTGATATATGGAGACGTACTTCAACATAAAAAAGATTGTACCTATCTTGGAAAAAAAGTATCAATTCGGTTTGCGCGTAAAGTTTAAATGGACCAATCCGAGTCAAATTTGATCAGATGATATCATGAACAAGGCTCTATTAATCGTTTTATGGAAATGATTATAGTCCACCATAACGAAGTTGACTAAACTATTGACTAGAGATTCAGAAAAGTATTAAACTTGGAACGCGAGAAACTTTAAACATCCTCACTTCTTCGCAAAAAAGTTGCCTGTAAGCCACTATGACTAAATTTTAAATCTCAACAAAACTTAAACGTTTTTGTGGAATAACAATTAGAAAGATCGCCGGCTTATTCAAAATTAGGAAGTCTTCCTGTTTTATACGAAATAAGATTTGAGACAAGTCGACTTCCTGTTTGTGATCCAATACAAAGAGGAATTTTACTTATCCTCTCTAGCGGTTGTGTTATTATAGCGGCAGAAAATATTCTCCAAACAATTTTGAGAAATGCTGCCGGGTTAAGAGTTCTTTGTCAGATAAAATCTGCACCCGTTGTGCTGCGTTGAGCGAACTTTATAACGACGTCGGAGTTCAGTGAATTAACATTCAGAGGCTAGCAAGGACATATCGTTCGAAAGGATGCAGACTCTCCGGGTCTAAAAGTATTTAATGCGGCAACAGTTAAAGGTAGCAAAAAAGAATAAGTTCTTGTATAAGTTAAAAAATACTAAAAGGAAAGGAGTTTAGCCTAGCTTAGAATTTCGAATTGGCACTAACTAGCAAAAGGATGAAATGACTATCACACTTTGTGTACTCTATAAAAATCATCCATTTGGCCAAATCAAGCGTCAATCGAGGAAATTCATAAAAAGAAAACTTTATTATATTATTACAAAAATCTTTAACTTCTAAAATCTAACATTAATGTATTAGCATATGAGATATATGAAAAACTCACAAACTCTTTAAATTTTGTATTTTTTTAATTAACTGTAGACTCCAAATTTTGTCATTAAGTTAATCTCTTGAAGTAATACCGTACTATATTAAAAAGTTTGTATAATGGAGTATGAAGAATTTCTTTGCAGAGTGAAAAATGTGATTCACCAGAAAAAAATGTCGAACCCTTCGGTGTCGCGACAACTCAAGACATATTTCAGTGTAGACAGAAAGTTCACTGATCCATTAGCTTGTATATAAGTTATATAAGTTCCATGTCTTTATAAATCAAACGAGATCATTAGATCTGTTAAGTCTTCTGGAATGTAATGAGTAATTACTTGCTTTAAGTGACGTATCTTGTCAAACAATAAACAAAGAATCTTTATATTTATTTTCTGATGACGTTCAATAATATAAACTCGAGTATATTTAAATGTATGTATATGTACTTATATTTTACATTATTTGTTATACTTATACAGTTATTTAAAATGAACAATATAAATTGTGTATTCAACAAATACTTGGGTGCAATTTATCAGTACACTTTCACTTGCGAATGACAATAGCAAAACAAAAGTGTGCAATAAAGTACAAAAGTCTCGTAAATACACAAATTAACACAAACGCGATTTAACCCTTGCATTACTGTAAATTAAAATTTCTAATTCAAATAAGTTATACAACAGCTGTCCTTTTACATTCTTTTGCTTTTTAAAAAGTCTTGTGAGTCAGATTTCGTAATTGTTTGTATGTATTTTAATTGAATCAAAGCTTATTCTACGAGAAATACGATGATAATAACAATTTACTGAATATGAAAATTATTTACGTATGTCCCTATGTAAATATAGTATTGCAGATACCATCTATGGTATAAAGATTTATATATGTTTACTTTGCACAAAATATATATTTCATGTAAATTATAAAACTAATTGCTTTCAATAACACGCATAAAAACGAGGTTTGACCTACTTTCCGTAAATTCTTTTAAATTAATAAATTATTGCAATTACAGAGGCACGCTTTGAATTTCAAGGAATTCATATTGAGAAACTGGGTATGCAATCAGCTGCTGCACTATTCTATGCAAGTGTATGAATATCAGTACTTATATGTAAGTGTATACGAGGGAGTGTGCTTAAGTTCGTAGAATAATATGTATATGGTATATACAATTATCTTATGGATATATAATATCGAGCCTTTTCTATGAAAATAGTAGTTTTTGCTTTAAATAATTTTTAGGACGATTTAGCTTTATATCCAGTTTCACTGAGATCCGTCAATCCACATTGATGTAACTATAAAAAAAACATCTTTTATAAAATTTGAATTTTGGGCGCTTACGTTATTTTTGCGGAAATGTCTCGATATGTTCATCGTCGGTTGTTATGGTCTGTGTTTTTTTTTGGTGTTGTAAATATAACTTTAGCATAAGATATGGTGCCTAAGCTATCTTCAGTGAATCTATTATTCTATTCAGGAAATTTAAAATCTTACCCTCGTATCTGTTTTGTCATAGCATTGACATTTGATATCTCGCAGACTTATTTTTCCAATATTTTTTTAGCGCAGTATAAAAGTTGATTGAAATTATACGAGTAAATGTGGGTGTTAGTTCCTGAATATCAAAGTAATAGGTGCAAATTAAATTCCTAAGGCTTTTTTACGAATTTGTTTAAAGAGGCATTTTATTTTGTTAATAAATAAGAAAAAATGAACATTTGCATAATTCAATGTACTTTAATGATCGTTTGAAAAATCTTTGATTCCCTTATTCCTGTAGCCGATCTTTATATCTAAGAATGTCGTGTGAAAATTTCAAGCCGATAGGCTCAGCCGCTTTGTAGAAATTTTACTCACCGGCGCTGAAAACAGCCTTAAGATAACAGGTAAGTCTTTTTCCTAACTTATAATCGTAGTGAGCAAAGATGGACTAATAAGTACTTGTAGGTTAAGATCTTCTCCAAAGGAAAACCCTATGAATTTTAGTTTAATTTTTCATTTCGCTGAGATATTTCTGCCAACAACCTTTAAAAGAATTACTTAAAACGGTTGAATTTTTTTACCAGATCTATATCTACACGTTGAAAAATTATTATTTTTAAATTATTACTCATCTTGTGTTGACTGTTCTTTTTTCAAATATACATTGGCCCGCTAGATCAAATTTAGTAAAATAGTATGAAACTGAATATGGAGCAAAATCCAGTGGAGTTGTGAACAATTGCTTATAAGGTCCAGAAAAAATAAATCCATTTTTTTGCATTAAGTTGAATACTTTATTTAGCATAGTTAGATCGATCCGATTTAGAACAAATATAATGTGCTGCCATTTTGAAGATAATTTTGTACAGCTACTCTCATTGAAACCCTAGTCGCTATTGGTATAAAACTGGTGCAATCGATCATTCGCCATAGACAGTATTAGGTAGTAATTACTTGGTGCCAGACCCAGACTATAAGGTTAATGCATTAGAGCCACCTACCCAAGGTGTCCTAATGGAACACAATTCCGCTCGTTTTGGCCAAAGCTGGCCGCTTCTGGGCGATTGCTTACTTTAGGCGGTCCCATTGTTAACAGTATACGATCAAATTCAGATTGTTGTCGTACCAGAAACAATATACACATTTTCAGCCATCAATACTGAGTTAAGCAATCACAAAACTTAGAGGATTTTTTTAGTACAATATTTAAAGCGCCATATAACGTAATTTGATCGCGCTTAAAGAAATATATTATATTACTAAGGTCATCTATTGTGAAAATAATCGATATCTTTTTACTAGACTTTATATACTATATTTTCGCTTTCAAGCTATTGACATTAGATTTAAAAAATTCTACAACAAGAAAGCAGTTCAGTTCCTCTTATTTGCGAACGAATATTGTTGCAACTATAGCTTCATTCTGCTGCCTTTATTTTTCTTGTGTGTCTCTAAAGTACAGCCAATATGCAAGCAAAAAGCAATAGCCGCAACACTGCCAACAAAAATAACAGCATAAGACAAATCAAAAAAGAAAAAAAAGAAAAGAAAATAAAAAGCCACTGCAACAACTGTAATAAA